ATGTACTCACGCCATTATTGCGAAAAGCTTGGGAGGAAGGAAAGATGCCTGCCGACTGGAAGAAAGACTATCTTGTTAAGCTACCAGAGAAGAGAGACTTACGCTTCTGCAAGAACTGGCATGGAATAATGCTCTTTTTCACGCCAGGTAAAGTACTAAGTCACGTCATCCTGGAGAAGATAAAAGATGCACTGGACGCAGAACTCTGCGAGCTGAAACAAGCTGAACTCAGGAAACGTAAATAATGTGCTGATCAAACTTCAACTCTAAGCGTCGTCACCGAACAGATCATCGAGTGGTAGTCAATGCTGTCCCTTAACTTCTTCGGCCGTTGTAGATTGTTCGTGAACTTTGCAGAAGGTTTCAAGTTGATCACTGCTAGTTTCTGCAGGTTGTCTACATTTCATTATGTCGTCTAGATTGAGATAATTAAAGTTTAGCACACTTGCGACATTCTGTTTTAAACGCAGAAATGTTCGGGCGACGTTGTGTGTGCCAAAATATATGTTGGGAAATTAAAATATCCAAAAGATCTGCTCAATATCATAAGGGTGTCTCGGGATGATGTGTGTCACTTGTCAGATCAGACTTCTTAAATACAGCCTATCCTTTTACAGATGACGTGAAGCCGTGTATATGTGGGGCCGGGCAACGATTGGAGACTGTTTGGGTGTTCAGTCCTCGATAACCACCTCAAGGTCTTCAGTCCATGCCGCTGTTTTTAGACAGCACATGTAGGGGGTGAAGTTCACAAGCCCCTGGAGGATCTAGCTATCCCAACCTGGAGGCTATGTTCAAACTCATCCCTTGACGCGTTGGAGTTTCTCTGAAGATTGCAGTCGAGTTTTAACAAGTACAGTTGTGGCAGTAGTTGCGATGTCATGTAAGAAATCGGTGGCCATACTTGGAATCCTACGGTAAGGCTTGGAAATATCGACAAAAGATCGGGCGATAGTGTGGTAAGGACTTGAAGCGTTTGGGTTGTATACACTGCGATGAGAGAAGTCCTACGACTGACAACCCTAGAGATAGGTTCATGTAGTAGGATACATTAGCTTACGCTTGCCAGCACCTACCAGTAATAGCGACTGTGTAAGAGGTCAAATGATGGATAGAATGGCATTCCAGTCGTTTGCCTATTATCTTTTTTGCTTCAAATATGACTTCAACAACCCAGACGGCGAGGCGAGTTCTGTAGCTTGTTCGGCACCATGGTTCGCACTGTTGCTGCCGTTTTTACATGACACGAATTACGTATAAACAGTTTTACTTCTCCCTGTCTCCCATTAACGAATAGTCTACCTCTGGGTTTCTTCTCAATAACTTCAGGATAAATATAAAAGGCAGTGTGTGAACAGCAATCTACTATGGTGGACTTAACACGGATGAAAATAACCTCCAATCGCCACACCCACCCAGCAGCCTTGAGCGCGAGGCATAATTTGTTGGTGGAACAGCTAAACAGAGATTCTCCAGTCTCCAATTTGAACAACTAAATCAATCACATTGTAGGCATGTCCCTCTATGTGGTATTGTGGTGAGAACTGTCTACAAGCCAATTTGGTAGACAGTTATTTACGTCAATGTTTACGTTCTCAAGATTTGTCGTGAGAAAATATGGACAAAGACTGATTCAAAACCGACCACAGCAGACTTTGCGCAGGCGGATACAGTTAACATATAGATGATCTGACATTCAAGAAACAGTCACAAAGAGATGAAAGATTAACTTTAAGTGAGAAACAACCAATCAGAAGACTGTGTTTGTTTGCTTAACTAATCTATAATAATGTACATGAAAATAGATAAATATGCCTTGATTTCCTTAATAAACGATCTGTTGCCTGGCCCTTGTCTTCTGTCGTTACAGTATCGCCCATTAGTTTAAATTGACTGAGCATCGACTTCCATAACTGGGCAACTGCTACACAATCTTTACCAGATAATATCCCATTACTTTTGCAACGAGTCCTCCAACCCAACCATACTTGGCTTTTTCCCCTGTAATGCTTAATAAGTAGATTTTGTGCAATTACATCCCAAAAACGTATCCTAGAAAGCACAATTTTTAACTGTTCATTGTAGAAATAACCACCTTCAGTCGGTAGCTAGTCATTATATTGCACTTACCTGGAAGGTATAATTTTAAAAGCTCTCGTTATATATTTTCCATAATATAAGTAAAAGGGTTGCTTCCCAAATGTCTAACACGCACCGCATAAAAGGCAGCCATGAAAATTCGGCCGATTGTTTTCCACAAGACCCTTCTACTCATCTTTCTCACTAACTGCTCCGCTATTCATTTAACCTTACTCAATCGTCTTCAACTTCATTTCCTTCAGTACTGACCACTCCTGTATCTTAAAATTTTTAATTTCTGAGGATTTACAGCTCCATGAATGTTTCCTGTAATTGTGATTCCAATGATGGATCATCTCATATGAAAAGCACAACTCAGGCTAATTTTGATGCAGCAGAAAATTACTGGGCTTTGAACATGAACCTACCCTTAAGTCATCATCGATTAATCTTCTCACATCCTGAAAGCTAAAGTCAGAACTCTTATTTAGCAAAACATGAACCTACATTTCATCGTCGGTTACCTTGTCCAATGCATCTGGCCTATTTCTATTAAACTGTGAAACGTGAAACAAACCTTGTAGTATTACTCCCAACATTTCGGTTACGCATGCGTCTGGCATTCGCCTCAGCTATGCGCCTCTCAGACGGGTCTCGACCTGTTATCCTTTTGATATCATCATCTACTATTTTTAATTTCTCCTTTGCAAACTCTAAGTCCTTTTTTAGAGCGTCGATAGAATCAACGGCTGTCATTTCGCGAAGCGCGAGGTTTTCTTTCACCCGGTCTTCAACTGACAACTTGACACTGTTCACTTTTCAATGGTTTGGATGTGAAGTGCATTCTGTTACACACAGATAGAAGAACTACAATTAACACTTTCAGTCTAAGAACACGACTGTTTCCAAATTCCACCGTCTGCCTCTAGGAAGTGAGTTCTTCTATACAGCTTTCACGGAACAGATCAATTTTGGCTTATACGCGTCGTAATCTCAATGCCTAAGTAAAATAGTCGGTCTGATTAAAAAAGCACATTTAAATTGTCTCCTGAACTCCATGTAGACAAACTGACTACTGTGATTGCCTGCAATTTGGATTTGACAAACGTTTTATTTGGTATTCTCGTTATTATGGAGCTTGATAACACATTCATTATAATACCATATTAGTTTGTTTATTAGATATATCATACAGTGAAGCTGTATTATACACTGGATGACGTTTCGAACAAAATTTATTGTTCATAATCATATCAATTGTAACCACACGACTTTGAGACTTGGGTAACACCTAATTCCGAACTCAATATCTTGAGTCCTGCTATGATAATTTGTGGTTGGTGAACCATTGGCTGCACGTAACCGTGGAGGTTTTAGCCGCAGATGCTCTTCTGCCATAGTTGGAATTACCCTATCTTCTGCCTCAGTATCAACTAAGAATCTACTCCCAGATTTACGACGTATGACACAGAAGAGGCCGAAAGGGAGCGGTTCGTTAGGGATTTTGGTTGTGGGGAATCGTGCAGCTGTAGGGATAACTTCTGGCTTTAATCTCCTTCCTGATGATACATGACTCCCCATAAATTTCTGTGTTGTAAGTCACTGCGTCAAAACCCGATGACTTACTGGTCAAAGATTGTTTGTAATAATGAGGTAGGAATACCCTATGCCTGTTTGGGTAACTTCGAAAGCTCTGTTTGCTGCACTACTAACCCCATCTAGGGTGGGTTATGAAAGAGTTTAGGATGCAAACGTTCCAGCCACAGGTGCTTCAGAGGTATCATCAACTTTGAAATCACCGGGTGACTGTTTCATATAAGTATCGGTGTTGGCTTATGGTTTCCGAGTTGAATAACTTTCAAGAGTCCTTGCAACTCTTGTTGGTCAGTAAGTGTAGCTCTCATAATTAGAGTAGATATTAGACGATAGTGTAGGCTTGGGCTGGAACCATGAAGGACGTCAAAAGCACCATTCCTAATGGGTTGAGGGAGACTCCTAAACACTAAGTTAGATTTGGCTTCTTGTGAGTGCACTCGCCATAGAGTGAATTGACCTTCTGTATGCTGGAACTATGAAGGTAGTTTATGTGACGAGAAGATGGGAGGCTACAGTGTAAAACCATCTGAACAGAAGTCATTTTCAGCCATTTTACGATAGGTTATTGTATGGATACAATGATACAGCACGATCACAGAATGGAACCAATGTAACAGTACATAGAAAATTAATAAATGTAATCTGCTATGCAAATATAAAAATGCAACCAATGAAAAATAAAAGTATGGGTAAATAACATCAATAAGTGACAAAAGGTTATCCCCATGCTCACCAGTTTTAAGCTGTTTGTTGTTCTTTTGACTTGCTACACATTAACAACCGTAGTAAATGTAATATAACCACACTACTGACAACAAATCAGTTCAAAAAATACTCTGTTATTTAGAGAGGTGACAGGATGTGATGGATGAGCAATATATTTAGATATAATAAGATATTAGTATTGCTCGAAAAAGAGATTTTACAATCCGTGGTTGTGCTACTGCTACCGTATATAACACTAGTCTTCATCCTTTGGAGCATAGACGTAAGCACTGGAAAAGATGACAAGGGGCAGCAGTGGATAATACAGCCGTCCATCCATAGTTGTGGAGGTGTCCAATTGAGCACTGTCAAGTCGAATCCTGTCATTGTTTCCAGTTATTTGTTGACAAGGAGTCCTGAGCGGATTATGCACTCAGAAGCAGTGCTTCTAAAAACCATTAATTTCTCTGCGACAAGCTGTATTAAGAATACTTGCTGCACATCATGTCATGGAAATCCAAAGAATGAAAATATTTGCAACCAATTAAGTTGATAACAGTCATGTAGTCATACTGACTACAAAATCCAAGTGTGCAGATTTTCGATACTGTGTTTTACTTAATGGCAGCAAATGTCTATCAGTTTTGGCGGTACAGAGTGGTTGTCGTGGTCGTTTGGATAAGAGGCGTGCCCCGTTGTTTGATTACCATCTGGGTGTGGGCTATTACATTATGGCGGACGCTAGACCAGCTGAAAAGGAGGAGCAGCAAAAGCCGAGTGCTCCACGTAAGGTAGTGGAAGAGCGTGTGAAGGGTGTTGTAAAGTGGTTCAACGTGAAGGCTGGGTACGGCTTCATTAACCGCCAGGATACGTCTACGGACATATTCGTTCACCAGTCTGCTATTACAAGAAATAATCCTGATAAGCTTCAGCGCTCTCTTCAGGAAGGGGAGGAAGTGGAATTCTATGTTGTTGAAGGCGACAAAGGTGACGAAGCATGCGAGGTGACAGGTCCTGGGGGAGAGCCTGTCAAGGTACTGTGGGTATTCAGTGATAACTTTTTCTAGGGGAGTGTTTATGCTGCCGTACGTGGGCGTGGGAGAAGTCCACGTGTGTTCAATGTGCGTGGGAGAGGTCGCGGGATGGGGCCAGGGGGATTCTCCAGCAATCAGGACTTTGGTCCGTATTACAGCCCTCGTGGTCGTGGACGCGGTCGTGGGGGTCCAGATATGGTGAGTTCAAACAAAGAGGCATTTCCCTGTATTATTTTAACATTTGTTTAACCCAACCCATCTAACAAGTAGAGTGCTACTTCATTGGTCTTGTACTCTCGTCAAAAAGAGACTCAGTAATTGGTGTTAGTTACACATGGTTTTAAGTTATTCACTGTGACCAAGGTAGAGATGTTAGGTGAATCAGAATGGTCTCAGTCAGTACGAGTTCGGGACGGAAGATCTGACTAGCCTCTGAAACTCTGCAATCACGGTTTGCGTTAGTTATGTATCTCAGTCATCCGTGATTGGAGTTGTACTATTACAACTTGTACTTGCACACCGGTGAGAGAGGTATTTCTTTGAAATCTCGACTGGTCGTCGCTTATGTGAAAAGGTTTCAGGTAAAAATTTGTATTACATTTCGCCGGAAAATTCGTTTCTGGAGTGAGAACACCGTGGTCATGACATGCAAGTGTCCTAACTTGAACCTGATTTATATCCTGGAACCAGCCTTGTTACTGTTAAATGCCATCCCTGTTACATGTAAAATTTGATGCTTTCTAAATATAATCATGGTTGCGTTTTAGTACGGAGGCGGCTATGAATTCATGGATCGCGGTGGACGAGGACGTGGATTCCGTGGTCGTGGCAGACCGCGTGGCCGTGGCTTCCGAGGATCTGGTGGGTTTGAACCTCGAGGACGTGGTGGTCCACGTGGAGGAAGAGACAGCTACCATGCCGAAAATGGTAAGTGATGAGTTCTATTTGTTTGTATGTCCGTCAGTGTACTAAATGCAGACCCAGTGTTGTGTGGATGTCTGAAGCAGAATTTTGTTGTATGACCTGATGAGAAGAACCTATTGTCCTCACATCCTATGGACGACTGTCTTGTGGAGGGCTACGCTAACCAGTGTTTACAGTTTTCTCTTTCATATCCTAATCTTTGCTGTGTCACGCTGTGCTCATTCTCAAAAATTCACGTGTTTTATTTCTTGTTTGCAGGTTCACCAGATATGCGTGACGCGTAACCAGTCGTCCTGATTACTAAATATCGAGCATCGTCATTTTAGAAAATTTGTGTACTCTGTCAGCATTCATATGTGCATGTCTAAGTTTCAACCCAATTGTTTAAACATCCAACTTGCAGCACGCTGGATTATCACTTGTCTTTACGATATTTTGGATGCACACCAACTTTTCATCTTCCTCAGTTTTGGCGTTTCATTGATCAACCCTGTATGTTTCCAACTTTGCAGTTCAGAATTCCTATGGATATTGGGATTGTTTCACTCGATCTTACAGCCTTAGCTTTCTATGCTTTCCGATGCATTTCTTATCTATCAGGACCTTCCATCTGAACTTGATTACTTTTCTACTGTTTCATATTTATTCATGCTTCCGTCCACCGATTGTTTGAGGACTCAGACCACTTTCCGGGGTCGGAGATCTAGCTGGTTGTATACTGGTGGTTACCTTTCTGTGAGATATGTTGCTTTTCTGTCATCTACTTGTGTGGATAATTAGTGCTGTATGGTTTGAACTTTTTTCTTAATTGAATATGCATTTTGATACTTGATAAAATTTCTTTAGAGTAACATCCTGAGCGTTCTTCATGTCTAATCTTCAGAGAGTAAAAGATAGACTCTTGTAGTGGAGTTCAGCCGAACAACTGCACACACTAGGACGGCGACACTGTTCAAGGTGAAATAGCACCCAGCTCTTGAAAGGGTGGCAAACCTATTTTTGAGTTTCAGGCTGCTTGTGTTTGAAGGCAATTGCACTGTGCGTGACTCCGTTTCGTCGTGGATAGGTTGGTCGACGACGATAGAGTGGATCCAAGCCATTCCGTTCACATGGAATCTGACTAAGTCAGTGGAGACATTTCCAGGCCACGTTCCGCTTATTTGAGTCCCTACTGGTTTGTATAATTAGGTGGCATTGGTCAACGCATCCTTCTGCACAAAACACGCAGTCACTTCACTCGAGTAACAGGCAAATGAAATTGTATAGGCTAACAGTTGAAGTAATGTGGAGGCATTACAATCTTGAGTGGTTAATCTCTGGGGATAATTTTACTTTTTATCTGTTTGCAGTACAGATATTTCTCCGCTATCTGTTCGCTCACCGGATTGTCAGGTCTTCTGAAGGAACATTTGGTGAACCCTGTTGATTCATGTAAATTTAGCATAAGTAAGATATCTGACTTAAACACCGTTGCACGAAAAGAGTTTTGAGTTGATTATGACTGTCTTCTATTGACAAGGGACGCTTTGTCCCAGGTAAGTGGGCTGCTCGTATGTCTATTTCAGGCAGTAGAGTGAACGAATATTGAAAGTTATTAATGTCAAACGTATAAGACAACATACCGCTTGAAAAACTTAAAATTGTAATATAGTGTGATGAAGATCTGCTGAATGCGGTGTTCTCAGTGCTGTACTATTTGCATAGTCTTAAAAGTGTGTTTGAAAACTGAATTTGGTATTTCGGTCAGCTATGTATCTCCTAACATCCATTGTATTTGTAGACTAATGAGTGGAAGTGTCACTTTTCAATCACATGAAGAGACTTTATTTCATGCGACCATAGCGATCTGACATCACTTGGTCATAAGAATCGTGTCAAATTCAGTACTAGTCTGGGCAAAACTCTAGACTTGGCTTTGTTTCATGAGCGATCGTGATATATGCGATGCCTGAAGTGGAGTTCCCTTGTTTAATCCTGACTTTGCATAATTTTTGTTGCACCAGAAGTGTTTGACAAGTTACCCAGAAGGGTTTTTATCCACCCAGCAAAGAAAAACAGGGATAGTCTTATTCACAAGACAATATTCATTCACTAGAGGGCATGTCTCAAATTGTTGACTGCGACATATTCGTTGATGAAGTGTTAGACGTTACTGTCTGATATCACCTGCTATATCAAGTTCTGCTTGAACATTTACTGTTCTGCTGAATCAGTTTTTGAGGTTTGGCAAGATCTCTTCTCCAAAACTAAAAAGCCTTAGAAGAGAATTTGTACGAATCACGTGATGATACAGATGTTTGAAGTATGAACTCTGATAGAGTCTGAAATACAAAGACCATTTGGAATATTTAGTGGAAAATTCTTATCATGTAGAAATGCTTCCAACATCAGGAAACTATTAAATTATCTTACAAACAAATTTCTGTTGATGCTTATTCTGACGTAAAAGCCTTGAAACGATATTTTCGGAGGCGGCAAGCAAATATGGTGTCGCCTGATGTTCCCGGACACATTAGTGAACGTTTTCCGGGTTTAATGAAAAGTATGTATTGTCATGTCTTAAATCCATTACACGGTCTATTCCCTAACGGTGTATGTATCGAGCACTCTTCTTCAAAAGTGCAGGTATCTTGTGTCACATTCTCTTACAGATCTTTAATGCATCATTTCACAAGGTTGCAGTACCTGCTACTTAGGAAAAAATAAAGGTTGTGCCTGTACCAAGAACCATTCTCGGGTCACGTGTAAAGTCTAGGTGACTCGTCACCACGTCTCCACTTCTGGAAACTGGAAAAATTCCTTTAGCTCGTTCTCTAACATTCCTTAAAATCTTTCAGTGATGCAAAGCAGTTTGCGTATCAATACAGTAAAGGCACTTTAGATGCTCCATCACAATATTGTTTTGATTCTAGATAAGGTTGAAATGTTTGTTCGGGCCTTTAGACTACACCGCTGCTTTTGACTTTTCCTAGGGGACTTTTACTGGGCAAGCTGATTTCAGTACTCAGAGTCCTGGGTAACAAAGTATCTGTCTTTTTTTCAGGGTAGGAAACAACATACTGCTTTAAGTGAAAAGTGGTCCACTCCTTTGCTTACGGAAGCTGGTGTATGTCAGGGTGATGTACTTTCTCAATTTATTTATGCATGACCTACCGTGTTCTTTCATAGCTAATGCCATTAAATATGTTTATGATCTGACTGTCTCTGTCCCAGCAGATTCTGTACTGGATTGTTCTGCGATATGAACAGTTCCTTATCTGAGGTTAACCAATGTTCTCACTCAAATGGTCTTCCACTAAATCCATCTAGATGTCATATTGTTGATTTTAGATTCAGATTTGAACAAGACTTTCATAGACTGATTCAATCTCATGATTCTTGTGATATCGACGGCACTGAGATAGGGAGTAGGTCGAATGTTGGCAATTTTAGCATCAGTTTCTCTTCGAACCCCTATTGGTCGTCTTATATCTTGTTGAATTCTAAGTAAGTTATTCGCTTGACTTATTACGTAAAGAAGTTGAGACCTTCTAGCATAACTCAACCTCTTCTCTTACAGTTTATTAATCCATGTATTCTGTTTTATTGTCCCACCTTATTCTCACTTGGGTTTCTCAAAAAAGGCCAAGTCAAGTTATGTAGAACTTTGGTTGCTGTAAGTAGGGTTAGTGATGTGCTTTAGACTCAACTTACTGGCATTGTTGTCGATAGGCTTTTTCGCTCTTTGGATTAGTTATTTAAAGTCATCCGGTCTGATATCGAACATACGGAATTATTCGCAACTCTATCCTTGTGTTTCTTGGAGTAAATGCAGAAGGAATTTCATAAGGAGCTATGTTCGTATTGTAAAAATATAAAAAATCAACCATACACTATTTAGCGAAAACTGCGCTACATTTACCTAGTTACCTAGAACTCTGATTTTTTGTGGAATATCTTATCAAAAAGCTGCGAAAAACTTTCACAATTATTTGACTTTGAAACACTGAATCCTTGGATATAATATTGTATATCAATATCACCTATAACTATCTATTTACCACTCTGTGCTTGATTAACACTAACTAATACCTATAATTGTATATATATTGATGGATTTACATGTTCAAGTTGGCTCAAGTTAGCGAGTCTATGATTTTGATATCATTTTGGTTAACTGGAATTGACTGTGACATAATTATTGTATATATATTGACGGATTTACATGTTCAAGTTGGCTCAAGTCAGTGAGTCTATGATTTTGGTATCATTTTGGTTAACTGAAATTGACTGTTATATTATTATTGTTGTTGTCGCTTGTTACCCTTCTTTTTGTGAATTATTTTCCCGTGCTGGTGTTTTTCTGCTTGTTTATCCCCTGTTTTCCTCGTTTTAAGGGGAGCAACCCACAAGGTCGCTTCTCTCTGAATTACAAATCGATGTAACAACCCCCCTTCTCAGGCGTGAGGCTAGCAACCCCACCCTGTAAACAAACCTGCTACAGAAACTTCAGCACGATGTATCTCCTTGAGACAAAAGAAAAAGTCTTTGTAGGGACATGGAATGTCCGTACTATGTACGAGATTGGCAAAGCTGCCCAGATCGCAAAGGAAATGAAAAGATATGGAATTCAAGTACTGGGGATATGTGAAAGCAGATGGAACGGGAATGGACTCACCAAATTGTCAACGGGTGAGTCAGTGATCTACTCCGGTCACCCAGAAGATAACCACTCGCACACCGAGGGCGTGGCTATCATGATGTCACCAACGGCAACGAAGGCCCTGATGCAATGGGAGGCGATCTCGCCCAGGATAATAACCGCCAGATTGAACTCCAAAGGAAGGAAAGTGTCAATTATACAATGCTATGCACCGACAAACAACGCAGACCTCGAAACGAAAGAAGAATTCTACAGACAACTATGGACAATACTCCAGCTGGTGACATCAAAATACTAATGGGAGACATGAACGCCAAACTGGGACCAGACAACACAGGAAGGTAACTCATCATGGGTAGAGAAGCTCTCGGAGAAATGAATGAAAACGGAGAACTCTTCGCCGACTTCTGCGCCTTCAATGAACTAGTGATTGGTGGCAGCGCATACAAACACAAAGATATCCACAAGGCTACATGGGTGTCACCAGATGGGCGAACCAAAAACCAAATTGACTTCATCTCAATCTCAAGGAAGTGGAGGCGCAGCCTACTGGACACGAAAGTAAGAAGAGGAGCAGACGTTGGCTCAGACTACTATCTCGTACAAGGGACAATCCAAATCAAATTAAAAGCTTTCAGAGAAACAGGAGCTGCAGAGAGACCATAAGCCAAGTTCAACTCCCAAAAACTGAAGGACCAGGATACAAAGGATATCTTCACTGCAAGTATAAAAGACAAAGCCGAGACACAAATCAACACTGGCGAAGAGATCAGCGTCGAAATGGAATGGGACAACTTGAAAACAGTGTGGAATCAGACCCGAATGGAAGTTCTAGGCAAAAAGAAGAGACAGGACAAACAATGGCTCACTACGGACACTTGGAAACTAATAGAAGAGAGAGGGATGGTGAAACAAAAGATTCTCCAGTGCACCAATGAGCAACAAAAACAGGATTTGAACGCAAACTACAAAACACTGAACAAAAGAGTAAAGAAGAGTGCCATAGAAGACAAAAGAAAGTACTATGAAACCATGGAAAGTGAGGCAGAACAAGCTGCAGGCAAAGGAGACCTCGCAACACTCTACCAAACTACTAGGTACCTATCGGGCAAACGTTTGACACAAATCAAGCCGGTGAAGGATGACAATGGAAAGTCACTCAACAAAGAAGTGGAGCAAAGGAAACACTGGGCTGAACACTTCAAAAGACTCCTAAATCGACCACCACCTACAACGCGCCCAACAATACCAACAACGAAGACAGAGCTACCAGTGAACACCAACCCCCCGACGAAATCAGAAGTCCTGAAGGCAATCAAGATGCTAAAAGCTGGAAAAGCAGCAGGACCAGATGGAATCCCAGCAGAAGCATTGAAAACGGACCCAGAGACAACAGCGGACTTGATGACGCCACTACTGGAGAAGGTGTGGAAAGAAGGCAAAGTACCCGAGGATTGGAAGAAAGGATACTTATTCAAACTACCAAAGAAAGGAGACCTAAGTCAATGCAAGAACTGGCGCGGAATTATGCTCCTGTCCATCCCAAGCAAAATACTAAGCCGCATCATCCTGGAGAGAATCAAACATGCCCTGGATGAAAAACTTCGACCGGAACAGGCTGGATTCAGGAGAAACAAGTCATGCATTGATCAGATCGCCACACTACGGATCATCATTGAACAAAGCTTGGAGTGGCAGTCACCTCTCTATCTCAACTTCATCGACTTTGAAAAGGCCTTTGACAGCGTCGATCGAGAGGTGATTTGGAAACTACTTCGCTACTACGGGGTGCCACCGACAATTATACATCTCATCCAACAGCTATACGACAATGCTGCATGCCAAGTAATCCACAACGGGAAACTTACGGAACCCTTCGAAGTGAGGACAGGAGTAAGACAAGGCTGCCTACTATCACCAATGATTTTCTTGATTGCAGTAGACTGGATAATGCGACAAACAGTGGGCAATGAGGAAACAGGCATAAAATGGACACACACAAAAAACTTGGAGGATCTGGACTTCGCCGATGATATATGTCTGATTTCCCACAAACTGGAAGATATGCAAGCGAAAAGCAACAAGTTGGCAGAAGAAGCATCAAAGATAGGACTTCAGGTGAACATAGATAAAACAGAGGTGATGAAAATTCCTGGGCAACAGCAACAACAACAACTGACAACAATCAGCATAAATGGGAGGAACCTGAAAGAAACAACCTCCTTTACCTACCTGGGAAGCATCGTTTCAACTACAGGCGGAACTGACGAGGATATCAAAGCAAGAATCGGAAAAGCAAGACAAGCTTTCACTACTCTCAAGTCTGTGTGGAGGTCAACAACACTCAGCATCAAAAATAAGATCCGGATTTTCAACTCCAATGTGAACGTCAGTGCTACTATACGGATCAGAGACTTGCACTGCGCGTCATAAAGAGCATCTCAAACAAACTACAGACCTTCATTAACAGTTGTCTTCGCTCAATACTCAAGATCAGATGGCCAGAAAAGATCAGCAACAGGGATCTTTGGGAACGAACCAACCAGGAACCGATTGTGAAACAAATAGGCAGGAAGAAATGGAGATGGATTGGCCATACTCTGAGGAAACCATCAAGTGACATCACTAGACAAGCCCTTGAGTGGAACCCGAAAGGGAAGCGGCGAGTTGGTCGTCGTGCAAGGGTGACTTGGAGGAGGTCATGTGAAGAGGAGATGAAAACGTGTGGGCAGACTTGGAGCCAGGTGAAGACCCTAGCAGAGAACAGAACGCAATGGAGACGCACGGCTGAAGCCCTATGTTCCTGTAGGAATTAAAGGATACAATAATAATAATAATAATAACACTATTTAGCATGGGTATTGTGTAGAGATAAATGTCGAAAAAATAACTTATAAAATCAGTAACTGAACTGCAAATTACAACAGGAATAATCATTACACATATTATTTATTTATTATTCAGCATATTCTACTAACTCAGTTTTTGTTGTACTTCCAAATCTAATTGCAATTCATGTATACTTTAACTTGATTCTGAATTGAGAAGTTGTGAAGATTATACTGTCCCTCGAAAGCTATTAGCAGAAATTCTAGTACATCTTGTGATACAAAGTGACACGTCCCAGTCAGGAGATATGTAGACAGCATGTATATAAATAAATAATGGTGTGTTAATATTACTAGCTATCTGCATAACTGTCCAACTAAATAGAGTATAAATGGTCACTCAAGGGCAAGAGCTTTATGCCTTCCAACGTATAAATGTAAGCTGTTTTTGTTTGTTGGCATCTAACGGCGAGACGTATTCAAATATCTTGAGGCGATTTGGGTCTAGTTACTAATAAGGTTTTCAGGTTAGTATTAGTATGCGAATGGGTTACTGACACATTTGTCTGATTTTAAATATCCGTTAAGATCTATCAATTGACTATGCCGGATATGATATCTAGCCTGCGATACACCTTCTTTATTCTAAACGGTAACTAGGTATGAGACACTAAAAATCGATCAAGATGAAGTTTTAGGCCCTGAGCTTATTAGCAATTATCTCACCTACAAGAAATACAGATGCATTACACAGCTGATACTCAATAACACTAAGTCAGTGTGCTATCATTTATTTCGGATATATTATTTTAGCAAAATAGTCATATTATTAATAAGGAAAAAAAAATGATTACTAGTGGTATCAAATCAATAAATATACAACATTGATAAATTCATACAACCAGAACATTGCCAACACATTTACGACAAGCGAATAATTGTACATCATTTACAGCATCTGGTTTAGTAGACTGAAATGTGTTAAGGGCTTTTTGAAGTAAATCATCAGTGTCAGTCAATTCTAAAGGAGGTATTGTAGATAAAACAGCTGTTGAAGTATCAGATACATTTGACGGCATAAAAGGCATTCTGTTGTACTTCTTTGTTCCACTATCATTTCGTGTTAAAACCTGTAAAGGAAAATTAAAAGGTATGCAAAATAAGTTTACTTCAGAATAAGATAAAGTATTTTCTAAGGCTTTGAAGTCTTCAAGACTTCAGAGTGTGTTTTCACTGGGCATTATTACCGGTAATGCCATAACCCCCTTAAGAAAAACTACATTAGAAACAGAATAGCCCATAAGACTAACAGCCATAATACATGATAAACTTTCTGAAAGTTATTGCAATGTCTTAAAATATACACTAAAGACTATTCACATCATTGTGTCTAAAATCGTTTACAGTTAATAACTAGTGTTCCTTACAAATCATTTTACCATATCATTTTAATGTCTAAAGTCTTTGGGACTTTAGAGTTCTATTTGTTCATTCAAAACAAAGTTGCCTTTAGAGATAATTAAGGAGATTTGTAAGTCGGGATGCTGCTATAGATTTTTGGAGTTCGCCGTATCTGTGTACCATTCACTACTTTCTCAGTAACATGACATCTTTATCTCAAATTCCCCATTACTATGAACCACCATCTTAGTATGTGTTCTTATATTCCAAAAGAGACTCTACTTCATTACCACTAGTCAAGAAATTCTTGAAGTATGATGTCATAGTCAAAGAAGCTAGGCCATGTACGCCGTTTTTCGATGAATATATACAAAATAAGCGATACGCAAGATTATATTAGGAGCTTTTTATACCACTATACATCCAATCACCATAATGTGCTTTCAATTAATTAGACTTTAAAAAATGTATCCAGCTGTGAGGATGTCTCAAAGCAGAACTTTGCTCATAAGTGCAGCGGTTCAGCTTCGTACATTACAGACAGTACATAAGAGTAGAGTGAAAAAAACAAAGCAACTGTAATGTATGGAAGAAGGAATAAGTTTATGGAGAATAATTAGGATTAAGTAGTTCTGGGGGATTATAAAGAATCAACTCATCGCCTCCACTAAGAACGATTTTGAGC